GTGGCCACCCCTGTGGCAGGGAGTTCCACAGTTTAATGATGCAATGTGCAAACAAGTGCTTTGTTTTGTTTGCCCTGAATCTTTTGGAGGGAATTGTTTTCGTGGCGGACCATCCAGTCCTGTGACACCCACCCCCCCATTTCCACCTCAGAGGGAGAACATGTGCCCAGTGGAGCTTATATTATACTCGCTCTACGTGGGGCTGCCCTTGAAGCTGACCCAGAAACTCCAGCGGGTGCAGAATGCTGCGGCGAGGCTCCTTACGGGGTGCTTGCCACGGGATCACATTCATCCAGTGCTTTACCGACTGCACTGGCTCCCGGTGGAGTACAGGGTCAGGTTTAAGGTGCTGGTTTTGACCTTTAAAGCCCTATACAGCCTAGGACCCTCGTACCTACGGGACCGCCTCTCCTGGCATGCCCCGCGGAGGACCTTAAGGTCTACAAATGACAACATTTTGGAGGTCCCAAAACACAAGGTGGTTAGAATGGTCTCAACTAGGGCCAGGGCCTTTTCAGTACTGGCCCCAACTTGGTGGAACGCTCTGTCCCAAGAGACTAGGGCCCTGCGGGACTTGACATCTTTCCGCAGGGCCTGCAAGACAGAGCTGTTCCGCCTGGCCTTTGGTTTGGACTCAGTCTGACCCTTATGTTTCCCTCCCCTTTATGGTTTTGACTTTTAAAATGAGGCAGCATTTTAAATTGCATTTTAACCTGTATTTTAAATTGTTCTTTTCCTTTTTCTTATTATGTTTTTACTGAAATTTTATTGGTGTTAGCCACCCTGAGCCCGGCTCTGGCCGGGGAGGGCGGGGTATAAATTATTATTATTATTATTATTATTATTATTATTATTTGCCAGGTGGAGCTTATAGGGCCAGAAACCCTTAATGACAGCAGTTGGAGGTTGGCTTCCAAAAGAGATGGTTTGTGGCTTCAAAGGGCTAAACCCCTGGACCTCTAACCATTGGTTGCTTGTGTACAGGGGAAAAGTGTCCCAAAGAACGACTTTTCTCAAATGACGTCCCAGGGATTTCTCACACTTTGCTACTGCTGGCAATCATGTTCCCTCCATGCGCACGGCCCAGTTTTCTGCCAAGAGGAAGGGGCGAAAATCTGAAAATCCCATTACTGCCAGCAACAATGGCTGACTCCCATTTCTTATCTAGAGATGGGGAGAAGGCTTTTGAAGTATTAATTTCGGAAGGTTCCGTAGCTCTTGCTTTTCTTTGCGGAATTCCCGCTGGAGAAAAAGCCTTGGGACCTCTTAAGCCCCTACCCCACCCCGATTCTTCCTCCCCCAATACTTTAATCTCAGATTAAGTGTTATTAAAGATGGTTCAATCTAGCCTCAATGGAATCTATTCCTAATGAGCTCAGATAAGCTCCAATCCTGTTGCATGAGGAGGGGGGTAGGGTGGGCAAAGGAAGGGCTGGGCATATTCTTTTCCCCCCCCCTCCCATCTTTCCCAGAAGCTTTTATCAAGGATTTTGGTAAAGATATTGTCATATTGCAAAATGATACACCACAGATATCTTCTCATACGCATGGGTTCCAGTCTCTGCCAATCTTCCAGCACCTTCTGAATATATTTTGCAAGTTCTCAGAACAGGGGCATAACACCTAAATTTTGAATATGGCACAAGGAAATCATCTGGGGAGTCTTAGCTTTAATTTGGGAAAGAGGGGAGTTCCTAGCTCTCACCACGATTATGAAATGACATCTGCTATGCCTGCAGAAGACCTAGAAGACAGAACTTCCAGGTGAGATTTCCACTCTATTCAGGGCCAGCTCCCAATGCCCTCTTTTTTTTTTTGTATATAATTTTTATAAAAGTTTCTGTTTTACAATTTAAAATACTCATTTTACATCCTTAAGATATCGATGACTTCCTTTCTTCTCTTTCCATGGTTCATTTTACATAAAATAAATCCCTGCATATTTTACAAAAACTATACCATTTAAAATTCCATTATTGCATCCATCAAAACTTATTCACACTGTTGAATTTATCTGAATCCTGCCAGCGTTTTCAGCTATACACAATTATTTCCCATATATTCAATAAACGTTTTCCAATCTTCTTTAAACTTATGCTCTTCTTGTTCTCTTATTCTATATGTTAAGTCTGCAAGCTGCGCATATTCTGTCAAGTTAAGTTCCATTCTTCTTTGGTTGGGACCTCACTCATTTTCCATTTTTGGGCTAACAAAACACCGGCCGCAATAGTAGCATACATAAATAACCTTTTCTGACACCTGGGAAAGGACTCTGGTTTTTTGGGGGGGGGGCTACTTTTAAACCTTTTTTTCCAATTCATTATGTATCATTTCCCAATACCCTTTTACCCTTTTTCAGGTCCACCACATATGAAAGAATTTCCCTCCACCTCTTTGCATCTCCAGCACTTATCTGATTCAGTCATATACATCTTAGCAAGCCTGCTCAGAGTTAAAGGCCATCTGTAAATCATTTTCGGGTAGTTCTCCTTCAAAGAATAACATGCTGTTAAGTTCAAGTCACTTTTCCAGAGTTTTCCCCAGAGGTTATAATGTATATTGTGTCCTATATCTATGGCCCAGTGAGTCATTGAGCCTTTAACAAGCTCATATTTTGTTTCCCAGTCTAATAACAAATTATACATTTTAGACAAAAGTTTCTCTTTGTTTTGTATAAGTTCTTTTTCGAATTGTGAGCTTTGGTCTGAGAAACCATTTTTTCTATCTAATTTAAACATTTCATGTAACTTGTTATGCACTGAAGTTCTCACCCTGGACCAGCAGGGGGATACTGTAGGTAGTTTTCACTCAGGTCCACATATGCAAATAAGGAATTGAAAGTGACGTTCAGTGATTGGATAGTTACAGAAATTGTTACTGTTGCGTTGTAGTGGTGCTCTATATAAGCAGGTTGGCTGAACCCAGTTCTGTTCTGGGTCTGTGAATAAACAAGAGCTGTTTGAAGAATCGCTGTGTTGTCTGATATGTTCACCCACAACTTAACATAACTGATATCCTTTTAACAGCACATTCATGTTGATTTGTGCCATGGGTAGGCAAACTAAGGCCCAGTGGCTGGATCTGGTCCAATCGCCTTCTGAATCCGGCCCACGGACAGTCCGGAAATCAGCGTGTTTTTACATGAGTAGAATGTGTGCTTTTATTTAAAATGCACCTCTGGGTTATTTGTGGGGCATAGGAATTTGTTCATTCCCCCCCTCCCAAAAATATAGTCCTGCCCTCCACAAGGTCCGAGGGACAGCAGACTGGCCCCCTGCTGAAAAAGTTTGCTGACCCCTGATTTGTGCTCATGACGCTATCAGGACAGTCACATGCAATCCGGTCTCAGTACTGTTTGCACCTGCAAAAGTTCTGGGGTTGTCACACTGCTTCCTTTCCATCCAGTGCATAACCTATAACTTCCTGCTGAAAACCCACCATAACTTTTTAAAACCACAAACGCCCTGGTTTATTTTCCTCTGGCTTTTCTAGCTCTGCAGCTGTTAAGTTGTGGGTAGACATAGCAGACGACGCAGTGATTTCTCCAAAGCAGCTCTTTATTTGTAAGCTGGAACAGAACTGAACAGCAAACAGCTCAGCCGGCCTGCTTTTATAGGAAGCCGATTGTCAACACTGTAGCAACAACAACCCATGACGTGGACCTGAGTGTAAACTATATACATGATACTCCTGGTGGCCAGGGTGAGAACTTCAATACATAACAGCAGCCCCTCCGGAGAGCAAAAACATGGTAGCATCGCAGAAGAAAACAAACCAGATTAAATCCACCGCTTAGTCAGTGCGTCAAGAATATGCTGTGCAGTTACACCCAGAATAAAACATGAGGCTGGAAGCAGGACATGAGTCCTTCATGAGTTGCTCGACCTAAGGATCATACGTATAATTTTTTTCCACTTTAAAAAATACTTGCATGCGGAAGCCTAATTCAGGAGGGATTAAACTGTGCTAACAGAGAAGCCACGAAACATTTTGCTGCCTGAGATCACGGGGAAGATGCCCTGAATGCATTCAGTGTGCAGAATTTGACTAGACTTGTGGTAGATTCTCAGTTTCAATCGTGGCAACAGAAGAAGGCACAGAGGGGTGTCAGGCTCACAGCCAAGAGCTCTCTTCTCCGCCACAGCTTCCCCGAGTTAGCCCAGTTCTGTGTCCCCCTAGGGGTTATGATCCCAGCAAGCTTTGGTGAAGCTTTTCTGACTGAGTTTTGTGTTGTTGTTTTTTTAGCTGTCTGTTATAAATGCATTTCCATGCATCAGTGCCTGCTCTGAGCCTTGGAGACCAGCCCTGTTGCACAGGTTAAAATGGACTTAAAGTGGAAGAATATTTAAAGCCCTATGTGGCCTGGGACCCACGTATCAACGGGACCGCCTCTCCTGGTATGCCCCGCGGAGTACCTTAAGGTCCACAAATGACAACATTCTGGAGATCACAAGGTGGTTAGATTGGTCTCAACTAGGGCCAGGGCCTTTTCAGCACTGGCCCTGACTTGGTGGAACGCTCTGTCACAAGAGACTAGGGCCCTGCAGGACTTGACATCTTTCTGCAGGGCTGCAAGACAGAGCTGTTCCGCCTGGCCTTTACTGACTAGTGATTTAAATCAATTTGATTTAAATCAAATCCACCCTGGTAGCCATCAATAGCTTTTTTCCTTCATGAATTTGTCTAATCATCTTTCAAGGCCAATGCTCAGGTGGGAAAAAGCTCAACAGCAAAGGCCCTGTGCAGGTGGGAATTGTGCCACAAAATGTTTGTAGGGTTGGGGAAGTTTGCTATAGCTCCTTCACCAGCATATTCTGAATACAGGATAGCACCCTAAGACCTCCTTTCAGCCATGCCTTTCAAGGGCTTTTGTTTGTTTGTTTTAAAGGTAAAGGGACGCCTGACCATTAGGTCCAGTCGTGACCGACTCTGGGGTTGCGGCGCTCATCTCGCTTTATTGGCCGAGGGAGCCGGCGTACAGCTTCCGGGTCATGTGGCCAGCATGACTAAGCCGCTTCTGGCGAACCAGAGCAGCGCACGGAAACGCCATTTACCTTCCTGCCAGAGCGGTACCTATTTATCTACTTGCACTTTGACGTGCTTTCAAACTGCTAGGTTGGCAGGAGCAGGGACTGAACAACGGGAGCTCACCCTGTCACGGGGATTCGAACCGCCGACCTTCTGATCGGCAAGTTCTAGGCTCTGTGGTTTAGACCACAGCGCCACTGTTTGAGGTGGTGTGAAAATAGTGGAGGTTTAAGCCATAAACGAGAACTGGGCAACGGATCTGGTTGTCACAGTCCGGTCTATGGGCGATCAAAGTCCCGGCTGATGACGTCAGGACCGGGGGCAAGATGGCGAGGTGGGAGCAGGAACGAGAGTCCAGAAGCCAGGGGTCCGAGAGTCAGGAAGCAGGAAGTCACGAAGTGAAGGGTCCGAGGGTTGAGAAGCAACGACTCACGAAGTCAAGGGTCCAAGGATCAGGAAGCAAGAAGCCAAAGACAGCAAGGCAAGAAACGTGTTGCTGTGGCAAAGAGCTGAAGGGAACTGCTGACCTTATATCCCTTCCCAGCTCTTGCCACCAGGTGCAGTGAGTTGCCAAGCAGCCTCACCTGTGCGGCCGCGCCTTGCCTCTTCAGAATGAACTTAGGAAGGCCCTAGTCCTGCGAAGCCCTACTGGTCACAGGGCCTGGCTCCTGCACGCACTCCTGACACTGGTGTGAACTACTCCTGCTCTCCACATCAAGAACAAATGAGCAGAAGGGTGGGAGACCCAGTACAGATATATAGCTGGAACCAAGAAAATGAGTTTTTAATGAATGGGGAGGTGCTTCTTTGCCTCCACTGGGGAGTGATTTGCCCATCGCCTGTGTGATTTCTAGCTCTCCGTCTAATGAATCGTAATTCTGCGTCAGACACCCCTGCTGCGTCTTCAGCCCCATCAGGCTTCGCAGTCACATCAAGTGTGACAACTGCTGAGTCTGCGTGTGTCACTCGGCTCTCGAGGAAACCCCAAGCTGGCAGTAGTGGCTTCTCTCTCTCTCTCTCGGCACGCCAGCTGCGCCCAGCGACACCTAGCTGCGTCACCACCCTCCAGTTTGCTGGAGATTGCCCACAGCATGGGAAGAGTTGATGTGGGGAAGGGAAGGATTTGATGCACAGCAGATGGAAAGTCTGGTCCCTGGAGCGCCTGATTAACCTCTGCAATTCACTGGGCAGGGGCAACAGGTCTTAAGTGTTGATTTCCCGTGTGGCAGGGGAGGCAGGTGGCGGCGTGGTTTGGCGAGAGCTGCACTTGAGACTGCAGTCGGCATTATCAGAGCAGGACTGCGCGGTTCTCCTGTCAGGATAATTCCACACATACACACACACACACCATTTTCTGATTGTGCCGTAGATGTCCACAGGATCGAAGATGGCAGGATCCCCAGGGACGTGCTCTACGGGGAGCTGGCTCCAGGCACCAGGCCTGTTGGCAGAACTCTGCATTACCAAGATGCCTGCAAACATAATAATAATAATAATAATAATAATAATAATAATAATAATAATTTATTTGTACCACGCCCATCTGGCTGGGTTTTCCCAGCCACTCTGGGCAGCTTCCAACAAAGATGAAAAATACATTAAAATGTCACACATTAAAAACTTCCCTAAAGAGGGCTGCCTTCAGATGTCTTCTAAATGTCAAGTAGTTTTTTATCTCTTTGACATCTGATAGGAGGGTGTTCCACAGGGCAGGTGCCACCACTGAGAAGGCCCTCTGCCTGGTTCCCTGTAACCTCCCTTCTCGCAATGAGGGAACTGCCAGAAGGCCCTCGGAGCTGGACCTCAGTGTCCGGGCAGAACGATGGGGGTGGAGACGCTCCTTCAGGTATACTGGACTGAGGTCGTTTAGAGCTGTAAAGGTCAGCACCAACACTTTGAATTGTGCTTGGAAACGTGTGTGTGACGCACATGTGCTATGCATAACCAACAAAGCGAAGTTATTATTTGCATCTTTGCAACCTGCTTTCACTCAGTTTTAGAGCAGCTTCCTGCAAACACAGAACACGATCCTTCACTCTATGCAAATTAAATTGGAATCGGGGAAAAAGCAAAAGCCTAATGAAACTGGATTTGAACTAAAAGAAAATAAAATCCTGCCAATCTGCTGAGACTCACAAATCAGCTGAAAGAGATCCACAAATTACATTTAAAGCATACGGCTTTACCCAAAGAATTTTGGGAACTGTAACTGACCCGTCACTGAACTACAATCCCCCGTGCCCGGTAAAAACTAAGGTTCCCAGGATTATTTTTTGCAGAAGGTAAAGGGTAAAGGGGACCCTTGACCATTAGGTCCAGTCGTGGCCGACTCTGGGGTTGCGGCGCTCATCTCACTTTATTGGTCAAGGGAGCCGGCGTACAGCTTCCGGGTCATGTGGCCAGCATGACGAAGCCGCTTCTGGCGAACCAGAGCAGTGCACGGAAACACCGTTTACCTTCCTGCCAGAGCGGTACCTATTTATCTACTTGCACTTTAACATGCTTTCGAACTGCTAGGTTGGCAGGAGCAGGGACTGAGCAACGGGAGCTCACCCCGTCGCGGGGATTCGAACTGCCGACCTTCTGATTGGCAAGTCCTAGGCTCTGTGGTTTAACCCACAGCGCCACCCGCGTCCCTCTTTGCAGAAAGCCATGTGCTTTAAGCAGGTGTTGTGGACGTGACCATAGAAGGAGGCTTACAATGACTGCAAGGGGGGACTTCTTACTTATATCATATCAACTGTTGGTTCCTTTAACCAGAGCAATGCATCTTTGTACTATAAAGGTTCCTGTTTTTTTCTGGGTGCTTCCCTCCTGGCTGTGTTGATGCTACAAGTAAAAGCACCAGTGACCCCCACGATGCCGAGGTCACAGAATCCTGCAGTTGTACGTTCGGGTTTTCATTTCCACTCCCGGCATCACCTTACAGGACCTGACAAAGACCTCATTGGGATTCCAGAAGCTTCGCCAAGAGCGGCAGGTTGCAAGGAAGCTGCCTCGACGCTGCCACCATGTGGCACCAGACCGTGCCTGCCCCACAACCTCCTCCTCCTCCTCTATGCTAGAAAGTGAATTAAGGTCGCTTTCGGATTGTCAGCACTTGGCAGGAGCAAATTCAGCTGTGCACCAGAAATCCAGGTTTGCACAATTGAAATGATTTAAGCGCGACAAGCCTGCTTTCGGGGGGGTGAGAAATGGACAATGGAGCTTTTGCAAATAAAGGCCCATCCAAACTGGTGTTTTATCACAGGTGTGTTCTGCAACATATGCTTGACACAGATCTGATGGCTACGGTATTTGCAATTAGTTGCGTTGCAGAAGGTGTGCTGGGGAGACCACACATTCAAGAAACGCAAAATAACTTTTGCTAGGTTTCAATAACAAAAACAAAAACTCCTTTTGCACTAAATTACAATACAGTGGTACCTCGGGTTAAGTACTTAACTCGTTCTGGAGGTCCATTCTTAACATGAAACTGTTCTTAACCTGAAGCACCACTTTAGCTAATGGGGCCTCTTGCTGCTGCTGCGCCACCGCTGCACGATTTCTGTTCTCATCCTGAAGCAAAGTTCTTAACCTGAGGTACTATTTCTGGGTTAGCGGAGTCTGTAACCTGAAGCGTCTGTAACCCAAGGTACCACTGTATATCAATAAGCATGACCCATCCACCAGGGTACTGAGAGCTACATGCTGCTCTTTATATACCATACCCGACTGCTTAATTACCACAACTTAACAGCACCTGCTATAATGTTTAACAGACTACTGTATTTTAATACTTTGTTGGAAGCCGCCCAGAGTGGCTGGGGAAACCCAGCCAGATGGGCAGGGTATAAATAATAAATTATTATTATTATTACTATACTGCTTCACAGCTGTAAAACTAGGTCACGTTATTTGCTCTGGCCTTTAAAGAAATACACATCTTGTGGAACAATAATGAACCTTCAAATTTAAGGAGACCATTCAACAAGATAATAGGTAGCTCAGTCGGTTAGAATTCATACCCTCCAACATTTCTCAGATGAAAACTGGGACGTCCCATTCCATAATGATAATTTTGCTATTTATACTCCACAGATCTTACTGGACACTCTGGGCAGCTTCCAACATATATAAAAACATAATAAAACACTAAAAACATTAAAAAGGTTGCCTTCGGACAGCTCGGGGGTCAGATAACCCCACACCCTCCAACATTTCCCCAATGAAAATAGGGACATCCTAAGCAAAAGTGGGACGTTCCGGGATCAAATCAGAAACCAGGACGGCTTCTCTAAATCAGGGATGGCCCTGGAAAATGGGGACACTTGGAGGGTCTGAGGATGTGGTCTGATAAGGCCAGGGTTGCAGGTTCGATTCCCATATGGGACGGCTGCATATTCCTGCGTCACAGGGCATTGGTCTAAATCAGGGGTCAGCAAACTTTTTCAGCAGGGGGCCAGTCCACTGTCCCTCAGACCTTGTGGGGGCTGGACTATAATTTGGAGGAAAAAAAGTTCCTACGCCCCACAAATAACCCAGAGATGCATTTTAAATAAAAGGGCACATTCTACTCATGTAAAAACATGCTGATTCCCGGACCGTCCGCAGGCTGGGTTGAGAAGACATTTGGGTTGGATCTGGCCCCTGGGCCTTAGTTTGCCTACCCATGGTCTAAATCCTCAGGGTTCCTTCCAACTCTTTGATTCTATGATTATAGAGTGCATTAGTGGTGAATTTATGCTGCTTTAAGGTGATTTAATGCTCTTGCAAAACAAACCAATTTTCCCCTGCCAAAAATACCTTCCTCTTCTTCTTTTATAATGTATATAAAGCAGAGAGAACAATGATTGAAAGATGAAAAACGTTTAAAATGAGTAGTTGCACATGAGTTGAAATAACGAAGTCAAAGTAAAAACTATCTTTCCCCCCCCCCCCAGGTCATCAGGTATAGTTCCAGATTTCCCAGGCTTGTGATGAACTTGAGAGCGATGGTTCCGTTGTACTGCATGTTTCATAGAGGAATGCCAAATCATACACAAAGTTTCTGGTCTGGAAGTTCCAGTCGAAATCTCTTTTTTTAAAAAAATAATATTTATTATTTTTCCAAAAACTTAAACACTAAAAAGACAATACAATACAATACATTAAATTAACAAAACAGAAACAATAAAATAAATCAAACAATTTCATTATCCCATCTTTCATTCACTTATTTCCACGACCTCCTCACACCTCCCTTTTTGTATTCCACTTCTGTTAATTATTTCAGCAATTCCTTTCCATCTTCCTCTGTTTTCTATCCTATAATTATCTTAACTCATTCTAACCTTATTTTTTCCTTTAATGCTCTATTAACCTATCTGTACTTAATTCCTTATAACATTTCTACTAAAGCCATTTAACTTCATTCCAACATTTTTCTAACATTCATTAATTTTACAGTATTTCTGTAAATAGTCTTTAAATTTTTTCCAATCTTCTTCCACCGACTCTTCTCCCTGGTCTCGGATTCTGCCAGTCATTTCCGCCAGTTCCATATAGTCCATCAACTTCATCTGCCATTCTTCCCGGGTGGGTAAATCTTGTGTCTTCCAATATTTTGCGATGAGTATCCTTGCTGCTGTTGTTGCATACATAAAGAAAGTTCTGTCCTTCTTTGACACCAATTGGCCGACCATGCCCAGGAGAAAAGCCTCTGGTTTCTTCAAAAAGGTATATTTAAATACCTTTTTCATTTCATTATAAATCATCTCCCAGAATGTCTTAATCCTTGGGCATGTCCACCAAAGGTGAAAGAATGTGCCTTCAGTCTCGTTACATTTCCAACATTTATTTTCGGGCAAATGGTAAATTTTTGCAAGCTTGACTGGTGTCATGTACCACCTATAAATCATTTTCATTAAGTTTTCTCTTAGGGCATTACATGCCGTAAATTTCATACCTGTGGTCCATAACTGTTCCCAGTCAGCCATCATTATGTTATGTCCAACATCTTGTGCCCATTTAATCATAGCTGATTTCACCGTTTCATCCTGAGTGTTCCATTTCAACAGCAAGTTATACATTTTTGACAAATTCTTAATTTTTGAATCTAACAATTCTGTTTCCAATTTTGATTTTTCCACCTGGAAGCCAACTTTTTTGTCCAGATTGTATGCCTCCATTATTTGATAATAATGGAGCCAATCTGGCACTCTGTTTTTCAGTTTTTCAAAGCTCTGCAATTTTAGTCTGTCTCCATCTTGTTCCAAAATTTCCCAATATTTCGGCCATTTGGCCTCCATACTGAGTTTTTTCTGTGCCTTCGCTTCCATTGGTGACAACCATCTTGGGGTTTTCTTTCCTAAGAAATCTTTATATCTTATCCAAACATTAAACAATGCTTTTCTAACAATATGATTTTTAAACGCTTTATGTACTTTTACCTTATCGTACCACAAATATGCATGCCAACCAAATACATTATTGAAACCTTCTAAATCCAACACGTCAGTGTTTTCAAGAAGCAGCCATTCTCTCAGCCAGCAAAAAGCCGCTGATTCATAATAAAGTTTGAAGTCTGGCAGGGCAAATCCACCTCTTTCTTTAGCATCAGTTAATATCTTAAATTTTATTCGAGGCTTCTTGCCCTGCCAAACAAATCTGGAAATATCTTTCTGCCACTTCTTGAAACAATCCATCTTATCCAAAATTTGTAATGTTTGAAACAAAAACAACATCCTTGGCAGCACATTCATTTTTATCACAGCAATTCGGCCTAACAATAACTTCAAATTTGACCATATTTCTAAGTCCTTTTTCACTTCAATCCAACATTTTTCATAATTATCCTTAAATAGATTCACATTTTTAGCAGTCATGTTAACCCCTAAATATTTCACTTTCTTAACCAGTGTTAGTCCTGTCTCTTCCTGAAACTTCTCTCTCTCATTCACAGTTAAATTTTTCTCTAAGACCTTAGTTTTTGTCTTATTCAGCTTGAAACCTGCTACTTGTCCAAATTCTTGAATCAGTTCCAATACCCTTTTGTGCTGGATTCTGGCTCCTGTAAGGTCAATACTAAATCATCAGCAAATGCTTTCAGTTTATACTGTTTAGCTCCCACTTGTATACCTTTGACCTCTTGGTCCTTTCTTATCATGTTTAACAAAACCTCAAGGACCGATATAAAAAGCAGTGGAGAAATTGGGCAACCTTGTCGTGTCCCTTTCTCAATCTTAAACTCTTCTGTCACTACCTTGTTCACAATTAATTTTGCCTTTTGTTCTGAATAAATTGCACCTATACCATTTTCAATGGATTATAAAATTTTTGCAGATATTTTGGCTAAAAGATTGAAAAAGGTGTTAGTAGAAGAAATTCATAAAGATCAAGCGGGCTTTCTCCCGGGCAGACATTTGTCTGACAATATGAGGAATATAATTAATATTCTAGAAAAACCTCAAGTGAATATCAATACTAAGGCTGTCTTGATATTTGTGGACGCGGAGAAAGCCTTTGACAACATCTCCTGGAGCTTTATGAAGAAGAATCTACAGGGGATGGGGGTAGGTCAAGGTTCCAGTCGAAATCTCAAATGATGTGTGATTCTCTCCATCACAGCTGCATTGCAGAGTGAGTGGTACTAAGGACTCAGAAACAACCAGACTTTGGAGGATAAGGAAAGAGACTGGAAGAGACGCAGGGAAGCACTTCCTTGATGCAACATGGCCTAACTTACTTGCAAGTGAAACAGAACACTCAATAAATTGCTGGCATAGTCTCATAAAGTCCCCTTGCAAATTTTGTGCAAGCAAATCGCGACAGACGTCTCAACAAACAGGTCATCTATGGTGGTTTAGAGTGACCTTGTTTAGTTGCTGCTCTAAAGGACATTTGTTGTGGAAACGAACCTAAAAAGCCCTAAATGGCCTTGGTCCAGTATATCTGAAGGAGTGTATCCACCCTCATCGTTCTGCCCGGACACTGAGGTCCAGCGCCGAGGGTCTTCTGGCAGATGCCTCACTGCGAGAAGCCAAGTTACAGGGAACCAGGCAGAGGGCCTTCTCGGTAGTGGCGCCCTCCCTGTGGAACGCCCTCCCACCAGATGTCAAAGAGAACAATTACTAAACTTTTAGAAGACATCTCAAGGCAGCCCTGTTTAGGGAAGCTTTTAATGTTTGATGTATTACTGTATTTTAGTATTTGGTTGGAAGGCACCCAGAGTGGCTGGAGAAACCTAGCCAGATGGGCGGGGTCTAAATAATAAAGTATTATTATTATTATTATTAGCCGTATGCTTGGGTTCGAGCTCGGGTGGGCAAAAGATCCCTGCATTGCACGGGGTCAGATTAGACGACCCTCGTGCAACCTTCTCCGAAGGAGCGTCCACCCCTATGTCGCGGGAGCCAGTTCACGCAGCGTTTTCTCTGCAAGGCAAAGGTGTCTTTTGCAGCTCTGCTCGGGGGAGAAAACGAGGCAAGAGGGAAACGGAGAGAGGCCGCTCCGGAGAGGCGATCCACCGGCTTCGGTTGGGGACTCCATTTCCCAGGGAGCCGCCGGGCCGGGGAGGGTGTGCCTAGTCCCGGCTGCCGCGTTTGCAGGAAGCGCCACCGACGAGAAAGAGGAGACGCGGCAGGCGGAGCGCGCGCCCTGCAAAGGTAGCCGACTTTCCCCGGGGAAAGCGGGGGAGAAGACCCCGAGAGGGACCCCCGCGCGAGGGTCTCTATCTCCCTCTACCACCCCCCCACCACGCGAGGGTGTCTATCTCCCCTCCACCTCCGCTGCTCGTTGGGTGCGCGTGGATCCGTAAGGGCACCCCAGGAGACTCACGGGCACGGGTGGGGGTCTTCCTTCCTGCCTGGCTCCCACCTGCGCGCAATTACGCACGCGGATTCGTTTCCTTTGGCAAACCCTTTAGCGACCTCCTCCCGGGTTAGAGACCTCGCCTCTTGCGCCCTCTCTAGCCTCACCGCCCCCCACCATCCGCGCGTGCCACCTGTTTTGGACTCCAGTTCCCATCAGCCCGCAAAAAACACAGGGGCTGATGGGAGTTGTAGTGCAAAACCGCTGGAGGGCGCCAGGTTGGAGACGGCAGCCCTGGTGCAGAAGTGGCAATCCCCTATGGCAATGAGAAGTGTTGTTGTTTAGTCGTGTCCCCCTCTTTGTGACCCCCTGGACCAGAGCATGCCAGGCCCTCCTGTCTTCCACTGCCTCCCGCAGTTTTTTCCAACTCATGCTGGTCGCTTCGAGAACACTGTCCCACCATCTCGTCCTCTGTCGTCCCCTTCTCCTTGTGCCCTCCATCTTTCCCAACATCAGGGTCTTTTCCAGGGAGTCTTCTCTTCTCATGAGGTGGCCAAAGTCTTGGAGCCTCAGCTTCACGATCTGTCCTTCCAGTGAGCACTCAGGGCTGATTTCCTTAAGAATGGATACAGGTTTGATCTTCTTGCAGTCCATGGGACTCTCCAGAGTCTCCTCCAGCACCAGAATTCAAAAGTATCAATTCTTCGGCGATCAGCCTTCTTGATGGTCCAGCTCTCACTTCCATACATCACTACTGGGAAAACCAGAGCTTGAACTATACGGACCTTTGTTGGCAAGGTGATGTCTCTGCTTTTTAAGATGCTGTCTAGGTTTCTCTTTGCTTTTCTCCCAAGAAGCAGGCGTCTTTTAATTTTGTGACTGCTGTCACCATCTGCAGTGATCATGGAGCCCAAGAAAGTAAAATCTCTCACTGCCTCCATTTCTTCCCCTTCTATTTGCCAGGAGGTGATGGGCCCAGTGGCCATGATCTTTGTTTTTTTGATGTTGAGCTTCAGACCATATTTTGCGCTCTCCTCTTTCACCCTCATTAAAAGGTACTTTAATTCCTCCTCACTTTCTGCCATCAAGGTTGTGTCATCTGCAGATCTGAGGTTGTTGATATTTCTTCCGGCGATCTTAACTGGAATACAAAAAAGGGAGGTATGAGGAGGTCCGGGAAACAAGCTAAGGAAAAATAAGTAATGGAAAAATTGAGTGGTTTTTAATCATTTTTATTTTGTATTTTTTCATTTTTCTTTTTTTTTCCTTTTCATTTTTATATTGTAACATTTGGAAAATCTTAATAAATATCTTATTTTTAAAAAAAAGATATTTCTTCCGGCGATCTTAATTCTGGCTTGGGATTCATCCAGCCCAGCCTTTCGCATGATGAATTCTGCATAAGTAGAACCATAGAATTGTAGAGTTGGAAGGGGGAACCCGAGGTCAACTAGCCCAACCCGCTGCAAAGCAGGAATCTTCTAAAGCCAACTCCCCAATGGGTGCCCTGGTTTGTTTTGTTTGTTGAGGTAGGCTGGGCTGAGAGCAAATGCCTGGCCCCGAGGTCACCCAGTGAGTGAGTCTCACGGCTGAGCAGGGATTCGAACTCTGGTCTTCCAGGTCATAGGCCAATATGTTTCTCTTCGCCATTTCATGCGCACAACAGCCCTGAGAAGCAGGTTATATAAATTATAACAATATAATTTTTTATTTATACCCCGCCCTTCCCGGTTCAGAAAACCAGGCTCAGGGCGGCTAACAAGAAATTTAAAACACTTAATTGATGCAACAAAAAACAGCATAAAATACAGTATGAAACGTGAATAACAATAAATTCAGAATTCAAAAATCAATTTGGGGGAAAATCCATCCAATAAACATTAGATGATCCCCAGGGCTAGCTGGCTAAATTAGTCCAATTTGGGCCAGCGAGGAGACCAGGGGAGAATTAGCTGTGGGGTCTCAGAGCAGGTAATCTTCATAAAAAGGGGAGGGGGAGGAAAGGAAGGGGAATAAAAGATCAGGCTAAGTTCAAATTGAAAGCCAGGCAGATTAGCTCTGCCTTACAGGCCCGACGGAAGGAGGTTAAATCCTGCAGGGCCCTGGTCTCATGGGACAGAGCATTCCACCAGGTCGGAGCCATCACTGAGAAGGCCCTGGCCCTGGTGGAGGATAATCTGACTTCCTTAGGGCCCGGGACCTCTAAACTATGATTATTCATGGACCTTAAGGTCCTCTGCGGGGCAGACAAGGAGAGGCGGTCCTGTAAATACAAGGACCTAAGAGATGGTGACTGCTCCAAGGTTACCCAGCGAGCGCCACCCAGTGAGGGGGGATTCGAACTCATAGTCCAACAATGGATGCAAAGGGCAAAGAGATGGGGACCCTATTCCAGCCTAAAGGTTCTGTTCCCAGGGGCCACAAAAAGCATGACCAGAGTGCCAAGGGCACGTCTCACTCAGGGTGAATTGGGGCCAGTGAGGAGGGGTGTGACCTGGTGAATGTTCTGGGGGCCGACTGGAGAAGCCAGGAAGGCCGCATTTCACACCCGACACGGTTAGTAATTCGACCTCTCATTTTTCGCCATACAGATCTTCTTGTCATGGCTCAGCCAGCGCAACCAAAGCGCATCTTGGTGACCGGCGGCTCAGGGCTGGTGGGCAAGGCCATCGCAAAGTTGGTAGCCGAGGGAGAAGCGCGGCCGGACGAGGAGTGGATCTTCGTGTCGTCCAAAGATGCCGACTTGACGTGAGTCAGTCCTCCCTCCAAGCTTTAAGAAAAACCCACATTTGCCGGGGGGGTTGGGCTGGATGACCTTTGGGGGTCCCTCGCACCTCTACAGTTATGTGAGAAGTCTGGTTGTGTTTGTGAAGACTGGGGGCTCTCCGGAGAGCCCAGGCAAGCAGGCAAGCGCAGCGTCATTCGGTGAGTCATCCGGTGTATTGATCCGGTCAACGGACCTCAAAATATGAGACGTAAGGACAGAATACAGGAGTATCGAACGTCTCTAGAAATGGAAAGGTGCAGAAAAGGACAGACAGGGAGTTCAGGGGGACTTGAGCACCAAGCTAAGGTGAGAAGAGTCTGGATAGCTCATTTTGTTTATAATACCAAGGTTGCAGGTTCGAATCCCGTATGAGACAGCTGGATATTCCTGCATTGCAGGTGGTTGGACTAGATCATGGGTAGGCAAACTAAGGCCTGGGGGCCGGATGCGGCCCAATCGCCTTCTCAATCCGTCCAGAATCAGTGTGTTTTTACATGAGTAGAATGTGTGCTTTTATTTAAAATGCATCTTTGGGTTATTTGTGGGGCATAGGTATTCGTTCATCCCCCTCCCCCAAATATAGTCGGTTTGGGGCGTCTAAGCTTAGGGAAGAAAGTATTTTTAAGGAGGGATCCACAGACCAGCCGCACTGCCTCCACACACACGATTTGTGGCAGCGTGGAGCAAGTTGTGGGCGCAGCCCTGGAAGCCTTGCTTCTAATCGTCTTTTGAGTATTTTCCTAAGGCTGCCTTGAGGCGGAGGGCTTAGGAAAGGAAGACGTAAATGCACACCTGACTCCCTGCACAGTCCAAGTGGCGCAGCTTTGCCTAAGGGGAAAGATGCTTCCTTCTCCATCCTCATCCCCTCTCTTCCCTTCCAGGGATTCTGCCGCAACCGCAGCCCTTTTTGAGAAGCACCGGCCGACTCACGTCATCCACTTGGCAGCCATGGTGGGCGGCCTTTTCCGGAACATCAAGTACAACCTGGATTTCTGGGTAAGGATGCTGATCTCTCTATTCACCCGGTGCTATACCAGCTGCACTGGCTCCCGGTGGAGTACAGGATCAGGTTCAAGGTGCTGGTTTTAACCTTTAAAGCCCTATACGGCCTAGGACCCTCGTACCTACGGGACCGCCTCTCCCTCCCACGGAGGACCTTATGATCTTCAAATAACAACATCTTGGAGGTCCCGGGCCACAGGGCGGTTAGGCTGGCCTCAACCAGAGCCAGGGCTTTTTCGGTTGTGGCCCCGATCTGGTGGAACGCTATGTCACAAGAGACTAGGGCCCTGCAGGACTTGACATC